GCTCATTTCGTATCCTATCTCTAAGGGTAAAGCCACTCATCCACCTGAGCATCCTCATCTCTGCCACACTTAACAAAGAATTATGCTTCTCTTTTAATGGCCAACAGTCGGCACCATAAAGCATTGCAGGCCTCACTACCATCTTATAGAATTTTCCCTTAAGTTTGAGGGGTACATTTCTATCACATAACAAGCCCGATGCATTCCTCCACTTCAACCATCCAACTTGAATTCTACTGATAATATCCCCATCTATTTCACCATCACTCTAAACAATAGATCCAAGATATCTAAAACGTGTACTCTTATTAATGACTTGATCGCCCAAAGACACAATCCCCTCACTAGGTCTATTACTACTAAAATTACACTCCATATATTCCGTTTTAGATCTACTCAAGCGAAAACCTTTAGACTCTAAGGTTGACCTCCATAATTCAAGTTTACCTTCAACTCCCTCTCTAGTCTTATCAACAAGAAGAATATCATCAGCAAAAAGCATACACCAAGGTCTCCTCTTGCAAATGTCGGTGAGAACATCCATGATAAAGCAAAAACGATATGGGCTTAAGGTTTGATCCTTGGGATGTAACCAACGAATAGGAAAATACTTGGTCAATCCACCTTGTGTTTGAACCAAGTAAACGCTCTGCATACATATCTTTAATGATTTGATACAACATTATTGACTCCTTTCTTTTCAAGAACTCCCATAGCACTCTCTTGGAACTTTATCATATGCTTTTTCTAATCAATAAATATCAATATTGACCTCCTTATTTTCTCTATATTTCTCATCAAAACCTCTTATAAATGTATGGCTTCCATAGTCGACCTACCCGGCTGAATCCAAATTGATTTGAGAAACATTAGTATCACGCCGCAACCTATGCTCCATACTCGCTCCCATAGTTTTAAAGTATGACACATTAACTTAATACCTCTATAATTCGCACAATCTTGTGCATCACCTTTATTTCTTAAAAAAATAGAATTAACACACTCATTCCCACTCATCTGGCATTTTTTAGTCTTCAAAATAGTATTAAAAGTTTAGTAAGCCATGAAATTCCTTCATCTCTTAAGCATTTCCACACCTCTATTTGAATATCATCAGGTCCAAACAGCTTTTCCACCCTCAATTTCTTAAAGCCTCTCTAACTTCAGTTTACTAATATGCCGATAAAAAGAATCTTTATTTTCATTTAGGTGCTAAGGTCATTATAGTCAATCTTATTTTCACAATCTCATAAAAAGTTTAGCCAAAATATCTCATCAATCTTGTTGAATATCATCTTCTAAGAAAAGTACTTTTTGATCTTCATCTTTAATACACTTCACTTGAACTAAATCCTTACTACTCCTATCTCTTTGTTTGGCTAACTTATACATATATCTTTCTCCCTCTTTAGTCATCTAATCTATTATATAAATCACTAAAAGCTAATGTCTTTGCATCGCATATTGCTTTCTTAGCATCCTTACGAGCCACTTTATATATTTCTCAATTATCATAATTTTTAAAATTAAACCAATTTTTATAACAAAGCTTCTTATTTTTAATCTTTTCTTGCACAATTGGATTCCACCACCAACTATTTTTACTATTATGAGCTTTTTCCTTTGATACTCCAAGGACATCATTTGCAATATTCTTAATATCACTAGCCACTTTTTCCCACATAATATTAGCATCCTCATGCACAGACAAAATCTTAAGATCTAAAATCTTATTTCTAAAAACGTGTACTCTTATTAAAATAAAAGACTAAAAAACATGTTTCTAACAGCCCACTGTAAATCTTTATGTTTGCAAATGGATATACAGTTGTGAAATACATGAAGATATTTCATTTTTATGTTTGCATTAGTAAGCTAGCAAAGTTGGGTAAAAGATATTCATTGCAAAAATGCAAACTTTTGGGTTTGTTGCTCGCATGGCAGCTCGTCAAATTAGTATTTGAATATGATCCTATATTAGTAAGCTAGCAAAGTTGACAAAGTTCAAATAACAAAATAAAATAATTTAAATAGCCTGATAATGGCATATTGAAAGCAATCTTAACCAAAGGGGACCCGATTTTCAAAAATGCCCTCAAACCCTCATGCAAAATATTTTTTACTTGAATTCAAGTAAAAATATTAAAAAAAATGGAAAAATCACAAAATTAAAATAATTCAAGTGAATTGACCCCTTTTCAAACTTATAACAAAATTTAACATCCTCAACCACTTATCGAGGATGGTAACTTTGAAAATAACCTCAACTCACAAAGATCAAAGGTCTTAGATGTTGAAGGCGCTAGACCATATGACAGAGGAGCAACTCGTCCTCCTCGCAGAGAAGTGAAGCGATATGCTGATCTGTCTACGACATATGCCCGAGCCAATCAACACGAAAGGCCAATTCAGAGGCGTAACGATGGAAGATCAGAGAAAACAATAACTGCCAGAGTAGAGCAACCCAGGAAGGAGTGGGCCTCTGTACAATCAGTACGAGCGTGTAGTTATAATTCATTCTCAAATGATTTCTCTCTAATAAAGATGTGGGACGTGATATCTAAATAGTGGTTTTTCCACGAAATAGGATTACCGATAAATGGTTATGAATGATATCTTTGATTGAGCGGTTTCATTACAAAATAACACCATTAAATTACGGTCATGACGAAAGCCAATAAAATCCCCAATATCTAAAATCCCCTAAAATAAGGCATCATATGATGCACTTAACGGGTCACAAAATCCTATATTAGCTAAATTCAACTCAAGTTTGTTCCCTTAGACAAACATCCACTCTAAATGTGCAAGATTCTCTTGGACAAAGCAACTCATGATTGCCGACAAGGATCTTTCGGTGAGGTTGGTCGACCATCTCTTTTAACTAAATAGATTTGAGATCAAGATAATCCAAGATAATGAAACTACAATATCTTAATCAGGTTCGAGATCATTTTCCCCATCACCCGCTTTACTTTCAGAAAGTAAATTTCAAACCTTATAATGAATTTGCTTCTATTATACACTAAGCACTTAGTGCCAACTAATTACTAATTTGAATTTAATACTCTCTCTTGCTATTGAGAAGGGCAATTAATCATAGGTGCTTATGCCTATATGAAACCTAAAACCGCATCTTAAAGTCTTTACAAAATGAGTGTGAAATCTCTAAATAGTATCTTATCTTTAATATAATCTATCTTCCAAATACTTAACAAGTAAAACCAAAAACTATTTCAGCAGAAACTAGTTTTTATATTCTCAGTCTCTAAAGATATTATGAGCTAGAGAGCAAATATTCGATCCATTGTGCTTTATCTATCACATAGGCATAATATGTATCTGCTACTAAGTTTATAAATGAAAGTATGTGGATGAAAATATTGTTAGAGGTGCTCGAGAATAAAGAAATGAAAACTATTATTGGTGTGACAGCCAATTACCATAAAATTGATAAAAAGAAATAAAATACAAAGAAATAAGGATACATTGTTTTTAAACATTATCTTTCTCAATGTACAATTAAGTTCACAAAATTCATTTTAATGAGAATCATGCAGATATGTTGACAAAGGCAATGTCTAAAACAAAATTTCAACATTGCTTGACTCTGCTTTTGGTAGGACCTAATTAGGGAGGTGTTGAGAGGACTAAACTCTCTGAGATGTTTATCCTTGGATATAGTAAGTTAAAAGTCGATTAAGTTGATATTCAATTAAGTTTTGCATTTATTTTCCCAATAGTCAATTATGCTACATTTCATTTCTTTATTGTTAGTTTTTTAATGTACAGCCATTTCTCTGGCTAGTTTTTTTCTTGTATTTGTTTTGGATAGGGGCTAGTCTGCAATAAAAACAAAATGAGAGAATCCAATAAAGGGATACCTAGAACATAAATTGAGAATGTTGATGAGGCGATTTGAGAGAAATCTACAGATAATATTTGCTCATTTCGTCCATGCATCTGCATCTAGATATTGACAATAGAGATACGTGAGGTGAAACTATGTAAGAGGTTTTGATTCCTACTACTACCAAGGAAGGGAGGGAGATTGTGAGGAAGTTTGCCAACTGAGATTGGTTTCTTGGGGGCAAAATCAAGGGCTGTCAAAAGGTCTTCGTCATCTTCTTGTTTCCCTCCACATAGATTGATATCAAGAAAGGTTGTTGCAATTTTCATTCCTCTCATATTCTTCCTCAAGAAATATAGCTTCGATTTGAAATCAGGATAAGTTTGCAAGAAAATCTATGAAAAAAGGGCAATAGAAGGATTGCAAAAGTATAGCCAATTGAACATTGAATTCTATAATGTTAAATCCTAAATTCTTCATGCGGATGTAGGCACATCCACTTTACCGAACAACGTAATTTTCTTGTTGTCATTTTTTAACTCTTCACCTATTGTTTTAGTGTTTTTAATTATTACTTTATGCTACCTGTTAGCCTTGGGAATTAGTTTGCTAGCAAGCAATATTGTTCTTGTATAAGAGGAGCATAATTTGGAAGGAAAAAGTTCTATGTTGATTTCAGTCGAATGATTGTTATTCTATTTTGTGTGGTTGTTGCCAAATCTTTTGTTCAACTTGTATATATGGACTGAAAGAAAACTATTGATTAGATTATCAACAGCATCATATTGATTAATCTCCAAAAATCAAAAAAAGTACTGTAGTTTGCTTGATTCGTAAGGTCCTGACAATCAATTGCAATTGTTTCCCCATAACAATTGCTGATGGCAATGGTTAATTACTTAATTTGTAAATTTCTAAGACCGGAGTATCCAAGACAGGTTGAATCAAGTCAAAAAAAGTAATAATTTTAAGCAAGTACAGAATTGAAGGATTAATCTTAAAAAAAAACATAAACGGGGTCCTATCACCAAAATGCATGAAAAATGTAAATTTATTGATGACTTTAAAACAGAAATGCTTAAATTGACAGAAAATAACAAGAATATAAAGTTATTGGTTCGCAAAAGCGGATACAAAAGATGGAACTCACATCAAAGGCCGTCTCAAACAATTCGCATGGAACAGCTTCACAATTGGGATAAGCTTTCGCTGCTGCGGATTCACTGTACGCTCCCGGAAGACCCTAAATGTGAGGAAATCATCTAAGAGCCAAATCACAAGCATCCTAGATGAAAATTTAACAGGTAATCAGATTTCTCACCTGATAGGCCACTCTAAGGCGAGATCTATTGACTGAATTGGACAAGTCCGAAGCAGTAAGTGGTCCTAGAGTAGGAATAACATAAGCACCGACTAATAAGAGAAAAGATGACAGAAGGAACTGTAAGGGAAATAAATTAGAGGGTTTTCTCACTAGGAAGTGTTGAAGAGTCCTTGGGAGAAATCTCCGGCTTTGATTCCTTGAGAGTCCTCTTCAACTCCAGCGCCCTGGAGTTGTCATTGCTGGCGCTTCCATTGAGGCCACCATCGGCCTCGAAGGTAGCCTTTGCGAAGGCATCGCTACGGCGTTTGATAGAGATCCTCACGGGAATTTGGGAGGTTTTCCTCGTTCCTTTGGCAACTTGTGAGGAGGTTGCAGTCGATATAGCTCGAATGCCGGCCATGGAAGTCATTGCTTGAGGCCGACTTCGCTATCAGTGAGCGCTATCGCCACTTGTAGCAAAAGGAGTCGGTGAGGCTAGGTTGAGTTAGAGAGCGAGAGAGAGAGTGCGTGAGGAGAAATAGACGTATAAAGGGCGTGCTGTATGGTACAGTTGTACAGATATTCGATGCGGTATTACGGGGAAATTTGACTTATTCGGATAAATGTGAGCGCTGCCCTGTTACAAAATTTGTGTCATAATTTTTTTAAGAAAATTGTCAGGAGAATATTTTTTAAGAAAAAAAAAGACTTTTAATTATATTTATAACAATATAAATAGTTAGTTTTTTTAGTTTTGTATAAATTTGAAAAAATATACTTAACATTTTAGTTTACTAATGAAATAATATAAAATTTTATTTGAAATTATTCCTATTTATATACACATGCTATTTATGAAATTTTTTTATGAACAAACTAATTCAGATTCTAATCTAATTTAAATATAAATCAATTTTTTGTTCAAGCCTCATGGGAAGGATTTATTATACTGTGTGGAGTCTGGAGGGCCTCCGGAGATCAATAAAAATGTGTCACATCACCCTATTGCTAGGTACCCAACTCGGTACCCCTAAATACCGCTGGGTACCTAACGTTTAACCGGACGGTTCTCCCGTCCGATGTCCGTACAGAATAATAGCTCCATTAGAAGAAGGCTTGAACCTTTGTTGTTCTTATCATTCTCAAAGGCTACACATCTTCCTGAAAGTTACTCCTTCACAGAAATAATTATTAGGTGCGGAGTGTGCACCGTCCGCACAAGCACTGGGTACCACTCGGTACTGCTGGGTACTGCTGGGTACCACTAGGTACCCAATGCTTGTTGCGGACGGTTCTCCCCATCCGTACTCCGCACCTAATAATATCTCCCTTAACAGGCCACCAATTTTGTAATGCCTTCAACAATGAGCTCCATTCCATGCTGCCAGTCCCATGAATTGCTCTTAGTCATTCTTGAATGTCACTCTCCCCACAAACTACAAACTCTTCTTTGTCTTTCTTGAAGGCCACAAGTTTCATGAATTCTTTCTTTCACATGTTGCCAATTCCATGGTCCAATCTTCCTCACATGTCATTGGTCCTATAAACTCAATTGCATGCCACTTGTCCCGCAATGACTCTCTAGCAAGGTATATATGCGAACTCCTTTTCTCCTCTCACACATTGTAGATCGTGTTGTTTCCTTCCCTAACCAGCTTCACTCCTCACAAATGACATTTAAAGGAAAATAAACACTTATGATGTTTCAGCCATGGGTTCGAACTACTTAGTTATAATCACTTTCAAATGACTTATATAGTCCATAAATAGTCTATAAATATAAGATGTTATCATTTATTAGGAGTCACTTTATTTGAAACAAACTTCTCAGCATATTTTTAACATAAAACAAATATCAATGATATTTCTCTAATTATGTTAGGCATTATGTATATATTTTGAAAACATAAATCTAATTCAAAAAGAAAATCAGCCAAGAAAAGTGATCTATTCAACACTTCAGTCTAGAAAACATATCTGATAGAGTAATATATCAAAGTAATTAGTCAAAATCAAGGGTTTCAAAAAACATGTGATTGAAGATATCAGATGACATATGAATTCTTCTAAGATTTTAAGGGTTTTAAAGATAAGACAGCTTAATTTTTGTGGGCTCATTTCGTGCCTCTTATCAATTATTGGTGCACTTTATGCATCTTTTGATTTTTGATATACTTTATGTATCTTTTAATTTTTTGGCGATCATTACGAACCTTTTTAATTTTTCTTTTTAGGCTCATTATATGCCTCTTATTATTTTTGCAAGCTGACTCTCTTTTCAAACTTTTAAAGACTCTTAGTTGTGAGAATAACTTCCATATAATAGAGAAAAAAACCTCACTCTCTAATATAAGTAAGAATAAATCACAAATTAGAATTATATTCATATGATAAATACAATAACTTGATCAAGAAAAGCTTGAAAGTGATTTAAAAACTTTAAATATTATTCATATGAGATTTATTTCTGTAGGAATATAGAAAATATCTCAATTTCAAAGTCTTATTTTTAATTTAAAAAAGATTTTTTCTTAGAAAAGAAACTTACACCTCAAAAGGAGTTAGAGGAAGAGAAACAATCAATGGTGTTTCTTCTTTTAACTGATTTAGGGATGTCAATAATTGATTAGAAATTTTCAAGAGTAAAAATAATGCATAAAATATCATTTCAGTATTGACAAAAAAAAACTGAAAGAAAAATAAAGACATAAGAAATGAAAACATAGAAAGCCATAGTAAATAATCAGAAATCAATAATCTAAACAAAAATAAAAGAAATGTCAGAAACAAAAGAAAGATCAGAAAACAAAAACAAAAGAAAGATCAGTCATGAAACAAAAAGAAAAGAAAGATTAGAAAACATAAAGTTTAGAGATTAATAATCATCAAGTTCATGCATTTATTTCAATTACAACCAATCTTATCCTTATGATTCTGAATGTATCAAGGGCCAGTGGTTTAGTAAAGATGTTAGCAAGTTAGTTTTTAGTTGCTACATGGAATAACTCAATATCTCCTTGGGTAACATATTCCCTAATAAAGTGATGCTTTATATCAATGTGTTTGATCCTTAAATATCGGATAGGATTTATAGAGATGTAGATGGAACTAATATTATCACATAGAATTAAAATTGTGCTTACAGGTAATCCTAAATCGAAAGGACTTGGGCCACACAACTTCCTACGGCAATGTACTTAGCTTCAGTAGTGGAAAGTGCAACAGAATTTTATTTTCTACTGGACTAGGAGACTAAAGACTGTCCTATGAATTAGCAAGTTCCAGAAGTAGTCTTTCTATCCACCCTACACCCTACAAAATCAAAATAAGAATATCCAATAATTTCAAAAGAACTGATGTGCCTAGGATACCAGATTCGTAAGTTTTGAGTCCCTAAGATATATATAAGAATTCTCTTAACTAAAATCTGGTGGTACTCTTTAGGATAAGCTTGAAATCTAGCACATAGATAAACACTAAATATTATATCAGTATGTCTAGCAGTTAAGTAAAGTAGTGATCTAATTATTTCTCTGTACTTCTTTTGTTCAATAGATTTTTCATTTGAAACCTTATCTAACTGAATAATGGAGCTCATGAGAGTGTTTATTGGCTTGGCTTTATCCATTTCATATTTCTTCAAGATGTCCTTAATGTACTTTGATTGATTAAGAAATGTTCTATCATCCATTTTTCTTATACCAAAAAGTAGGACAATTCTCCTATCATACGCATCTCAAATTTCTTACTCATTATTCTGAAAAAATTATCACGTAACTTTTTATCAAAAGATCCAAAAAGTATATCATTAATATAGATCTAAATAATGATTAACTCATCTCCTACTTTTCTCAAAAAAAGGGTGGTGTCTATACTCCCCTTAAGAAACTCCCTCTCTAGTAGAAATGTGCTTAGACTCCATACCAAGCTCAGGGTGCCCATATTAATCCATATAAGGCTTTTTTTAATTTATAAATATGAATTAAAAATTCAGAACTCTCAAAACATGGTGGTTGCTCTACAAACACATCTTCTTTTATTATCCCGTTCAAAATGGCACTCTTAATATCCATTTGGAAAAGCATATATCCCTTATAACAAGCAAAGGCTAGTAGCGTTCTAATGACTTCCAATCTAGCTACAGGGGAAAATTGTTAAGAGAGTTGCTATTTGCATGTTTTATATTCTTGCAACTTATATGTTTTGGTGATTTCAAATATTATTGTTCTATGTATAATTATCTCCTAATATTTTTTTGGAAGAGTTGTTTTTGCTCTTCTGTGTACTAACATTTCAGGAAAATCAAACTCCAGACTACAAAGACTTCAAATCAAATTCATCATGAGATACTTTGTGTATTTAATACTTGTATTTTTCTTTGAATTAAGTTTGAAAGGGAGTGATTGTAATTGAGTGAATACACACACACTTAAGGAGATCTTGAGAAATTTGTACTGATCGTACGGGACGATCTGGTCAGTTATCTCCTCGTAAGAGCAATGGAATGAGCAGGAGTCAGAGAAAATTTTTCTAAGTCCTGTCGTCCAGGACGAAGTGTATTCGTCCCAGGATGAAATGTTCTCTGAAAAATTTTTGTTCAAGAACGAAGTGTATTCATTCCAGGACGAGTTGCTCGCTAGAGTACTATCATTCAGGATGAAGTGTATTCGTCCCAAAATGATTTTCTCTCTGGAAAAACTTCATCCGGACGAACCCATAATTCGTCCCAGGATGAAGTGAACTGACTCTGAAATTTTAGTGATGTTCTGTAGTTTTTGGGAACCGACCTATAGAATAACCGTTCGTACCGGATGAACCTATTTCCTACGGGATGATGTGTGTGTACGAAGTCATTTCATACCTATATATATTAGGTTCATTTCCAACGCACTTAAATAAAATCGTCCAGGACGATCCACGATCGTACGGGACGATCTAATGCGTATTGACTTGAATTTTTGTAGTTTTTGGACGATTTTTTTTGTCTCTCCTATATAAAGTCCAATTATGACTTCCATAATATCTTTTTGTCCACTAATCTTCGTGCCTATTGAAAGAAGAGTCAATGAGAGAGTGTAAGAGAGTGTTCGAAGGAGAATTCCTACTACTGGAGTGTGAAAACTTCACTTGGTATTCAAAGATAAGAATCTCTACTTGTGATTTAGGATTACTTCACTCTTTTCTTTCTTCCTTCTAGATTTCTTGTAAGAAGATCTGTCAAAGAGATCCGGTTCTTTGCCGACACTTGGAGAGTGTGAACAGCCGAAGGGTTCTCTGCCGACACTTAGAGAGTGTGAACAGCCGAAGGGTTCTCTGCTTACACTGGGAGAGTGTAAAAGGATGACGGTTCTCTGCCAACACTGGGGATAGTGTAAAAGGATGATAGTTCTCTGCCAATACTGGGGATAGTGTAAAAGGACGATGGTTCTCTGCCAATACTGGGGATAGTGTAAAAGGACGATGGTTCTTTGCCAATGCTGGGGATAGTATAAAAGGACAACGGTTCTCTACCGCACCGAGTAGTGGTGAAAAGAGTGTTTGTAAAGGCTT